TAATATATATTATTATATATATATATAATAATATATATATATATATATATATATGTTGTGTGTGTGTGTACACGCGCGCGTGTGTGTGTGTGTGTGTAACCACATATGTGCCAATCAAATGAGAATCACGACAGACAATAGCCAGTAAATCTCACATTTGCCTGATAGTTTACACATACCATTAACATTTACGAGGTAGAGCTGCAGGCCATTCTTTGTCGCATATGCGTAGTCGGGCTTCAATTCACCCACCCTGTTACACAGGCACCCAATTAGCCTGGTGTCTATTAGGACAAGCGTACTGTGAGCACCTGATTCATCCACGCACGTGTATAATGAGACACACGCGATGACCTGCACACGCTATATATGCCAAGCGCGGTGAGCTGAGTATGTACTGTACTACATTCCTTCGCCATATACAATTTATATTTATGCAATTTATCCTATGGCCTACGATCTAAATACTAAATAAATTGAAATAAGTACACACATTCATACGTAGTCAATAGTCATATGCTTTCTGGCTTTCTCAGATCTGAGAAGTATCTGCAATCGTATTGGTCAGCTAAAATTGGCGGGCTGTTCCAACACGAGAGATCAGTCGATTAGTGCCACACGATAGGTCTAAAAAGCCACAGCACCGCACAATCCGATGTTGACTTTATTTTTCTAATTTTCTTGTGTTTATTTGTGTGTTTACAAGTTGTTTGTGTAAACAGCAGCCCATATATATATATGTATATATACTACTTCTTTCGTTGACTATGTAAATATATATGTATTGTCTCTAGCTAGACAGAATCCCCACGTAAATACATATCTCATAGTTTCAAGTTGTAACAATAGTTCATCCTTCACACCCCGATATACATCCAGGCACCTTTTAATCCCATACACCTGCATTCAGGGCATACAGGCCAGTTGTGTGCGTAGAGGACTGACAATGCACCTATATACATAGATAGGCTAACGACAGTGACGATGAAATGCCCCAAGATTGTACACTGGGGCCCGCTGGTCACGATCTGTCTCATTGCCTTCCACACTCTGGGCACAGGTATCCTAACATCGCTATATCTACGGGAATGGCGTGCATGAAGCTATATCTATGAGGTTATCTATATCTGATACTGGCTGAGTGTCTATCATTGTAAAACTTGCTGCATTGCACCCCGAGTGTATCGTGTAAATGAGAGATATGCTGTAAACCTGACTTGTTGCGCCGCTTTGCAATCCATTGGACTATTTGTGCTTTTCACATAATCAAGGGCATTGTATTTCAATCACTCACAATACAAACATGAATTTCATATCGCACGTATGCAAGCACAAACACGTTGAGTGTCAACATAGCTTCTTCAGAGTGTACAAGTGATCAGTGAGTGGTAGAGTGTGCAACGGACCAGTGAGTGACAGAGTGTGATACTTGGCCAGCCTATACCATCATGATTTGAGAGGGACAATAGTATTACACACGCTCACATCGCCAACGTACCACTGTGCCATAGTGTGATCTAGATTTGTACAGAAGAGAGTACTGAGCGATCCCTCCTACACACAGCCTCTACTCGCATGTGTGCGCAAAGTTCCAATGTAATATATTGTGGTCTCTTGCTCTGTGCTATATTGCTCTGTAATACACTGTGCTGCATGAATTCTGCTTCACCGTTGCACTATAGACTATAAGAACGTCGCGTTGTAACCAGTTGGAACATATACGACACAATGTCAAAGCCCACCACTTCAGACAGTGGCTACTGCACTACGCCATTTCAGAGATATAACTCAGTAAGCGCTAGAGCGAACACCCCACTACCCTCCAATGAACACAGGAGGTGCATTCATACTGCTTCAGTGCATTCGCCGCACATGCACATGAGTCCTGTGTAACATGGAAAGACCGTGAGAAGCTACTACTCCTTATACCACGCAAGGAAAGTTATCCCACGGCGGTGCTGAGCTATCTGCTAAGCTCGCACTTATGTTCACAGTCACTGCTGCCATCAGTCACCCAGATCAATAACTTGTATTCACGGCTACTGCCAATGGTCACCTTCATGGGCAATACCCGTTTTAACGCAGAGATTGCGCTGCACAGAACCTGGACAGACCACAAACAATCACTCTCGCTCTTTCACTATACATGCAAACGTATCCCACGCTGCTATTGAGCTACCTGCATAGCCTTTGCTCATGTCAACTGTCATCTATCACTCTGATGGGCAATACGCACCACTTCACTCAGAGATTGTGCTGTACAGAACATGGAGAGACCACGAGCAGCCGGTGTACCATTCGATAGTACACATGGGTCTTGCATTCATGCTGGTGCTGAGCTATCTGTGCAGCATGTACCTGGGACCAGGGGAATTCCCCATGGCATGGGTGAGTCATCTGTGGCACTCTGATGTGTGCTCAGTCAGTGAGAGCGAGTTATATCTATATAATTGGCCTTGAAAGCTATCTTTAAACACGCGCGACGCTATTCGCAGGTACCAAGGCCAATTATGTAGGTACAACTCTTGTTTTAACGCAGCCTTTTCGTGTACACTGCCTGTTGTGGTGACCAGGGTGTGCAGTGATATATATATCTAAAGGACGTATCCTGTACTATTTTTGCATGAGGTGACAACGGTGTGTGCAGAGATTTACTATCAACGGCTTTGAGACGATCCGCTCCTAGTGAGTAGGAACCAGGTCTAACCCAGTGATTGTGTTACACATATATCAGGTGGGGTAGGGATGCCTGATTGCCTCGGTTTGTTGTGCTTGCCATCGCGAGTTTTCGTTTTAGCGTCGCTCATGCTGATGCAGTGCTCTGTTTTATATGCAGCATGCGAGCGCTGGCCCTACTACATAGTGTGTGCCTTTAATTTGGGCGTGCGCGAATGTATATGGATGCATGAAGTGTGTTCCATCAAACACTATTGTTACATAGATCCAAACGATATCTAACGTTGGTTTGGAATGTAAATCTGTGACGGCATATGATTGTTAAGGTGAAAGCACAAGTAAGTGCCTATCATCTGGACCAGCAGGAGACACTCTACATTCGTGCTAGTGGTTACAACCATTCGTTGGCGTAGCTGTACAGCCACGAAGCTACAAACGATGGTTGATATTTCGTTCATCCCAGAGTATGCACTAACTATGGCTTATGCCATAGCATATACATGTCAACGCTTACAGTATGAGCTTTCAGGCTAGTACAAAATCAAAGTTTACCTTCACACACACCCCTGCACGCACGTATTTGCCTTTCACGCAAGTCTTTACTTACCCTCAATCTCGTAGGAACCCGCTGATAAACGTGAGCAGCTGCAATACTGCTACCAGTGCGAACGATTCAAGCCACCCCGCGCCCACCACTGTCGCGAGTGCGGCACCTGTTGTCCGAAAATGGACCACCACTGCCCGGTATGGTTTCGGTTGTCAACTCTATCTGCTGTGCCGTGTAGTGTATGCATGTCTCCATACCTTAGTGCTATGCAAAGTGATTGTATTTTGAAGGCATTTTATGGGGTCTTCGGTTGCTAAGCACTTTACTCGATCGCAACGTATGTGCCGTGATGTGCTTGTATTGACACGGCATCTGTGTTTGTCTGTATATCAGTTATTCATCTACCTATCTTACACCCAGGGAGAACATGCTGTATGAGTGTCGATAGTATACAGGTCTGGTAGTTGATCGGTGTGTGGTACCTCACTACCGGAGTTGTCGTTGGTGTGCTGATTGTGCGTTTATTGTATGATACTCCAGGCGCGTATGTATCGTTTTGCGCGTGTGTCAGGTGTATCACCCGTGTGTAGAATATGTATTGTGTGTGGGATAGTCTATAAGAACCATGTGTACATTGCGCCTGCCGTGTGGGGTCTAAGCTGCTTGCCTGTTATGTATACATTGACCTTTCGTAGCCGGTTTAGGAAGCATCCGGTGTGTCATTTGGCTGCCGATCACGCGTACATTTTCCAGGCCCAGAGCACATTGTTAGTGGTTGTTCAGTCGATAACATACTGGTCATTTGGTCATCACCAGATACAGTACTCACTAAACGTAAACCTTAAAACCTTAGATCCTTAAACCTTCAACCCCTAGCTAGAACCTTGGGAGTTTATTGTGACTGATCAATCTCTACTTCCATGCGCAGTGGATTAATGGGTGTGTAGGGTGGAAGAATCAAAAAGCCTTTGTGCTGTTTCTGCTTTATGTGGTGCTGGATGGCTTCCACTCCATGTACATCATCGGCTGGCGAGCTTACCTCTTGGTCCATTTTGGACTTGTATGGCGACAAGTATGTAGTTACATGTATGTATTTGCAGGCAGCAGAAGAATATGATATTTAAACTGTATCATACAGAAAGATGTATATGTACGTGTGTGTACAGCTGTGTGGGCTTATGATCTATGATTTGATACATAGCACATGTGTTCATAGCAATTTCATTTTTATTTTGTGCCAATGTCAATTTTAATATAATACGAGAAAGGTTGTGGTGGTAATGTGCCTAAATGACTTCTTGTATACATCCTCTCTTGCGATCTGAGTGAAAAATTAACAAGCGAACCAATATCTGAATGCGACCTCGCCCCCTTGCTGCTTGTTGTATGCGTCATCCCCCGTTTTTCGTACACATCTGGACCTCAACCCCCATACGTCCGAGTCTGCTGTTCCGCCGAGCGCGCACATCGCAGAATAGGCAGCCAACGGCCAGTCAACATCTCGAGGCTTCTAATCCGTAGTATTTCGTGCATATCGAACTAATTAGACACAATAGCTGTAGATATCATATTGCCTGTATCGCACCGCTTATGTGTGCGTGGTACCTCGCTCAACCCTCATTACACTAAATAACCCCGTCTTTAACTCTGTTGTAGCCCATGCTCTTTGCTGACGTGTTCCTTGTGGGCTCGGTTGCCTTCGCCGTATGGCTGGCCGTGGGGGTCCTTCTGTTCTTCCAGGTGAGACGTTCGCATGTTGTGGTTACCCATGCTTTAACTGTTACCATTAAAGATGACCGTACACCGATAATATGCGCATTGGCGATGGTAGATCGATGTATTTTAGGCGAGAACATCAGATACGGACAGTTCCAAAATTATGGAAAATTTCTGCAATCTAAGTATGTGTCTATAAATGAAAACGGAGACTTTTGAACGTATGACATCCTTCGTCTGACAATCTGTTAAATCACATTCCGTCTGCATCTGCAGCTCCGCATAGTCTTGCGCAACAGGAGTGACATTGAAGCGTGGATCATGCTCAAGGCCGATGATCGTAGACAACCGGAGGAGGAACCGGTGAGTGGGTCACGTGGCATATGTGCAATAGGCCACACATGTCGCATTTCTGTTGTATATGTGCACTTGTTTGGAAGATCCGTGATAGGTGCACCATCTGTAGATTGCATACGCATGGGGGCTATTGTTTGCTATCTAAGGCTGATGAGATATGCATAGTTCTATTTTGCACCCAGAAATACACCCATCTACACGTGTACACTGAAGTGTTGCTAGCTTTCTCTTCCTTCCCGACTGACTTACTTGTGTGCCTGTCTTTGCTGCCGCAGTTTGCCTTCCCATATACTCTGAGCCGGCGAGCCAACTTCGCCGCAGTCTTTGGACCGTCTCCATTGTGGTGGTTTATTCCCACGGCAAGCCATGGTGAGACACTACACGAACTCAGTGGTCATACCTACATTGTTTCGCTAGTACAACATTGACTTCTTCTCTAGCTTCCGCATACGCGTGTGTATCTGTCTATCTATCTATATATCTATATCTATATCTATATATATATATATATATATATATATACATATGTATATGATGCCATAATTCGCTGTTGCAGACTATTACTTTGGGAGTTACATAAACTCACCGCCAATTATATTATGATACTACGAATGGAGGGTACACAGAATGTGCTGAAGTATACGCAGTAAATTGGCTATGTGATGACTGTGATGCCGGTGAACAACAACTTACAATGCTTGCCGATAAGTCAATCGTTCGTGTATTTCGAGATGTATCAAATCAAATGTGCGGTTATTGTTGATGTACCTGCATTGTGAGTGCATACCGGAGCAATTCGTTCATTATACTACCGAATATATGAGGGCGACCGATAGTTTACGATGTGATTACATGGCCTGGGGTACCAAGTGTGCTCCTTAATGAACACGTACTACATATTTAAATGGCAATCAATCGCTCGTCATATTGGTACATACTCTCCGCGCCAATTAATCTCTGTGTTCCCCTTGGTCGCTGGTTGGCAGGCAATGGGCTGTGGTGGGATGTGGTGGAGGGATGTGACCAGTACACACTCACGCGCGAGCAACTGGCGCAGAAGAGGGCCAAGCGCAAAGAGGCGCAGTTGATGCGCGTGACACAACCGTTCAACAGAGGGTGGTTTGGCTGTGGGTGGGGCCATCAGACATGGCGTACTCATCCTAGCATGGTAAGCGCCAGTGTCTATGTGTGTGTATATGTGTGTGTGTTCGGGTGGGTGGGTGTTTGTGTATGTGCATGTGTGTGGTTGTGTTTGTATTTATACACGTGTGTGTGTCGTCGTCCACGTCGGCTAGGGGTTGTTTTTTAAACAGTTGCGATGAATGCTTATAGCTTCTGACTGGTGGTTTCAGCCATCAGCCCCGCACAATTCCATGCACCTTTTCAGACAGATGTGGGTAAGCGTGTACATATGCATGGTGCCTGCATCTGATTTCACTTGCATGTCCATGCCTTGTGCATACATGGGTGTGTATCTTGTATGTGTATCTTGTATGTGTATCTTGTATGTGTGTCCTGTATACTCTTTGAATCAATATCGCTCTCCGAAGCATATTTGTGCTGCCGCATTTTCTTGTCGTGAACTGGTCTATTCCAGGCAGTACACGCACATATATCAGAGGGATTGTTTCCGTGAGTACAAACAATCCAGGGTTGTCACTTGTATTCCGGATATACGAACACGTCGGTCTGCAGCAGAATGAAGTTTGCATATATCTGTGAGTATTGGTCTTGATTTAATGCGGTCCTCGCGTAGAAATTTCCATCGTTTTCCTTCCATGTTTCTATAGGACATTGAACTTTCACAGAACGAATACATCTATATAGGTATTATCTATATTTTGCTTATACATAGATTACGCAGATTTCCAACATGTGCTATCACCAGTGGACGAATATTCAAATATCATCCGGCTCTCTCAGAAAAGCGGATACACTGTAGATTTTATTTTTAGAATGATCTTCGGTTGGAGAGCGAAAGTTGGCCACTGAAATATAGCGTCTATCAGACAGTGCTCTCAAATGTCACTCAGTTATCTACGAGTTGGTTTCTTGCGTATACCATGTACCGATACCAGTACTTGGACTGCATAGCATTCTCACAGCCCATGCAGCGCAGGTCTTATCAGTATATACTATTCAGACTATCAATCAGTGGTTAATAGCTGCCGTGGTAAATGCTATAAACACACCGCACTCTTGCAGGACAGCCGGATAGGCAGGAAGTGCAATCGCAACTCTTGGTTGTAAATGGTATATACTAGCAAATGTATGTAAGCAACTGTGATGACTATTCTGAACGCATCACATTCTAACGGGAAGTACAAATGTATACGTGCTTTTATCGTAGACTACAGTTGTAAGTTATATACACTAGCGACGTACGGCAACTATCACGATCAACACTCAAAGCACGCCATATGGTTGCAGGATGATGAACGCCTTGCTGTGGAAGTGAGCGATTTGCTGCTTATTACACGGGATAAGAAACACTGGCTGTATGGCGAGAAGGTCTGTGCGTGTGAATGCTGAGCATGTATCGGCCGTATACAGATTTGATATCCCTGCTGCACACTGTATAGATACCTCATTGTGTACGTATCATACTTTTTCTATATATGTCTGCTACAGAAGTGTCAAGTATGTTTGTGCTATCGGTTCTACAAGCTGTGAGCGCTGGGATGCACATGGTTGCTTTTTATATGCGTATTCCTGCTGTCGAATCTCTATGTGAGCGATAAGATGGGCATGTCGACTTTATGAGATTTGCAAGGCTGTAGTGTATAGTATGTGACAACTTTGTTATGTATGATAATTGATAGCTCGGTAGACGATGGCAGATAGCTAACATCATACACCTTTTTCTAAACCTTAATATGGGCTGTACATGTCCCCTGGTTTTTTTTATGCAAATGCACGTATATGCCTATATACTTCGAGTTCAATTAGCTGAGTATTAACATACCACTTTCTTGACCATGATGTTAGGCACAATTGTATGGCTCGCGAGGCAGTGCTAAAACATTCGATGTATAGGTCAACGCGTCCTCCGCCCTGTCTGCGCTTTATTGTTTCAAACTAGTTGCGTTGAGTATGTTGGGGAGAGAATAACCGGTTGTATTCGCTGTTTCTGTATGTACTCTTCATGGAACATGTTTCTAGTTTGCTGCAGTTGTCTATCGCATATTCACGCAAATGCACGATTCCACACGTGTATGTGGGATCTACGTGTGTGCCTATGCCAAAAGTATGTACATGTAGGTTTTATTGACACTCTGCTACTATGTGGACCTCTCTTGTGCAGCTGACTTCGGAAGGAGAAGACTTGTCAATGGCTGACAGAGCCAAGGCACATGGGTGGATGCCACGAACATGCGCTCAGGAACTAGATACACACAGCGATGAGTACGCAGAACTAGCAGGCGAATATTTCCAACTGACAACTAAGCCTGTGCAGGCAGTAGGTAAAAGCACTATTGATGAAGAAACTAATGCCGACATGGAGGCGGAGACCAAGAAGAACCTGTAATACTGTTTACGAAAACAAACGAATAAATTAGGTATTAAATTTGTCCACCTCGATGTTGTACGATTTGATGCGACACGATTTTACTGAAACAGGCTCGAAGTGGTATGTGCACGCATAGAATGGCACGCAATGTACACGATTACGAACAGTTAGTATATTTTGTGAATTTGATCGGTAAATAAA